TGCGGAGGGAGGATGTAGAGGCGCTTGAGGCGGTTCCTGGGTCTGGCACCTTGGTTTCTGCTGCTAGCTTTCGGTATCGGTGTTCCTTCTGCGCCGTTTCGCAGGCTGTCTCATGCATTCTTTCACCTCCGGCCTGCTCATGCACTGCCTGTGCCGTCCTGGTCTTTGGACAGGGTGCTCTCCTGTTTTTCTTCTCCTTGGTTTGTTGTGGCTCCTTCGGTTCAGGTTTGCTTTGCTACGGCTCTCTCTTTATGTTGGCATTGGCCTCTGGGGGTCGTTTGGCAGAGCTTCATGCTCTTCTCAGGTGCAGTGGTTTTTGGCTCCTATGGTCGTGGTTATAGGTTTCTTCATCTGCAGCCATCTCCCTTTTTCTGGTGAGAGATGTGCCTGCTGCTTTCTGGAGGGGTCCATGGGTTGTTGTCTCGTCTTCGTGTTGAGGAGTGGTGCACCGACTGCCTCCTGGGTATGTCCTCTTGTTTTCTTAGGTAGTCTTTGGTGAAGTAGCTCCGGGGAGCCGTAGGGGCTTCCCCCAGAAAACCAGCGTTGAATGTAATGAAACGCCATTTTCAGGGTGAGTCCCGGAGGCTCCCCGGCACCCTCCCGCCCTCTGGTCGGCGTTTTTTTCGCGGTTTTGATGTCCAGCCTCAGAACTGGGGTGGGGATCGCCGGCGCGGGTGTCTGGGACTCCCCGTTCCCCTTCCCGGGAAGGGGGGAGCTGTGCAGACATAAGGCATGGCTTGTGTGACGTCATGCTTGTTAGTTCGTTTTTCTTGGGGAGTTCTGTCCACTTGTTTGACGATTTTTGTTGTTAACCAGAATAGGGGTTTGTTTTGTGGCGCTTACCTTTCTGGATGCCTGTCCCGGTCGATGGCAGATATAGAATGCTCCAGATCACATGTGCAATTCTATGGGCCATTGCTCCCCGTGCCTCTCCGAGGGAGCCAGGTTCTGGCTCGTGGTCCCCGGTAGGCCTAGAACTCCACCCACATCGACTGATGCAAAATAGTTAGGGTATCCATATCAGCCATGGATAGCTCCGGGGAGCCTCCGGGACTCACCCAGAAAATGGCTTTTCATTACATTCAACGCTGGTTTTTTGTAGAAAAACGAAATGAATTTTTTTAAAGAAATAACAAATGGCTAATAGATTCATTTGGTGTTTGTCAGGTAGGCTGCTCCATGTTTCTTAAGAAAAAAAAAAAAAAATGAAGAATTTTGAAAATCAGAACAAATGTCAAAAAGGTTCGTCCAGTGTTCAGCAGGTAGGCTGCTCCATGTTTCTTAACCCTTGTGTTGCTAAGGACTATTTGGCCATTGTCACCCACAGGTGCATAACAAAAAAAAAAAAAAATTCTTTCAAACCTGCTAATTTGTGTTCTATGATCATGGAAAAAATAATACAAAAATCATATGTGGCGTATTTTGCCTATTATAGGGCGGGGAAATCTGGCAAAAAAAATTCGCTGACTCATGCGTCATAGGCCAACCCGTTCTTGCACTTTCTTACAGTCAGTATTGACTTATTAAATACGTGCATATGTGACATGCTAATTGATTGTGAATATTTTTGTTTACCTTGAAAAGCTTCATATAAAACACCGACCTTACCTAACCTTCTTAGTATGTTATGATAAGCATCTTATTGCTTCGTAATTACAATTATTGCTTAACCTAAACCTATAATAGGGTAAGTAATAATTGTAATTAAGAAGCAATAAGATGCTTATCTTAACATACTAAGAAGGTTAGGTAAGGTCGGTGTTTTTTTTTAAGCTTTTCAAGGTAAACTAAAATATTCACAATAAATTAGTACTGTATGTCACATATGCACGTATTTAATAAGTCAATATTGACTATACGAAAGTGCGAGAACGGGTTGCCCAGGCGGTCTGCTCCACCCCAGCTGTCAGGCAGGAGTGGCCACAAAGAGATACTGTCTCCACTCGATTATCCGGACTATATGGGAAGGCCCCCCAGCCGGATATTCACGTGTTCCGGATAATGATACTTTTACACCTCTGAGTCCAAAAGTGACCATTTCCAACTATTTTGATACTACAAACAACATAATTGAATTGCCTTGCCACATATAATTATTAAATATTCAACTAGAAACCTCAACTTACCTTGTTGGTGTTCGTCTTCTTGATTGATGCCGAAAGGCGGTAACACAGGGATAGATCGCAGGCTGGCAAGACCGAATCATACTGCGGATAACCTGGGATAAGGGAAACAGGGTCAACCAAAAGTGCGTCCCCTGCCACAGATGCTGTGGTGCACAAATAATGGCAAAGAGCCACAGACACGAAACATGATGCACCCCCGACCGAACCAACCAAACATCAACAACCCAAGGACACCTTCGGAAAGCAGCAGATTCATTCTTCACCAGAAAAGAAGAAGGCTGCAAAACGAACAAAACGACCACCAGGACCGAAAGAGCAGGAAATCCCTGTGCCTGAGGAGAGCATGAAGCTCCCCGACCCGACCCCCAGAGGCCAATGCCATCAAGAAAAGAGCCTTAGTAAAACAGTCCTGAACCGAGGGGGCCACCACAAACTGAGGAGAAGAGAGAAAAGAGAGCACCTGGTCCAACGACCATGACGGCTCAGGCGGCGCATGAGCAGGCCGGGGGTGAAACAGTCCCAGAGAAAGCTTGCGGAACGAAGCAGAAGTGACATCCACCCCGAATGCAAGCTGCAGCTGCTCCGCCTGTGCCGCACGATACGAGGCGACAGTATATGGCATAAGATGACGGTCCAGAAACAACCAAGAGAGAAAGGACAAAACAACCCGAATCAGAAATCGAAGACAACCTATGAAGAGACAAAAATGGCGAAAAGACCGCCAGGAATTTCATACTGCTGTCTAGCCAAAACTCGCAGGTGGGACACCATCAACGAAGCCACCTGATCACCATACAAGTGGTGATACACCCGCATCAAAAAGACCAGACACAAAGAGTGGAGAAGATCGAACCTGCCACGTACCGGACCGGACTGATCTGCTGAAAGAGGCGGAGCCACGGGAAGACCCTCGGGTTTGGACAGCGAGCAAGAAGCACCTGAAACTGAGGCTGGTCCGGCCACCAAGAAGCCAACAGGATTACTCTTCCCTGGTAAGTCTCCAACTGAGCCAGGATTTGGAGCAACAACCGGACCAGAGGGAAGATGTACAGGTAACTCCACCTTGACCTGTCCAGCTGAAAGGCATTGACCCCAACGTCCTCGCTGTCTGGGAAGGGTGCCACATAAACTGGAAGACACCTCGACCACGCCGATGTGAAGAGGTCCGCCTCTGGGCGCCCGTACACCTGGCAGAGCCAACTGAACAAGTCAGCGTTGACTGTCCATTCCGTGGAAAGGGGAATGAACCAAAACAGGCTGTCCACCATTACGTTTGACACCCCCTGAACATGAACCGCCAGGAGCGCCAAATCCCGAGAACTCAGCAGACGAGTCACCTGAAGCAACCAGCCCCAAAGAACCAAGGACCGCATCGAACCCCTGCGGTTCAGGCAATGAACCACCGGGGAGCAGTCCGAATGGAGCCGGATTGTTGCTTCTCGAGTGACTGGAATCCTCTGAAGCGAATGCCACACCACCACAAATTCCCGCGCCGTGCTGTGAGCTCGACGAAAAGACGGACCCCATCGATCCTGGCCGGCCTGGTCAGCACTCATCACAAAACCACAGCTGAGAGACGAGGCATCCGTGAACACATCGATCAAGGGCTCAGAGGAGGCGCCACGGTACAGAACCCCAAAAAACCTGCAGAGGAAGCCGGCGACGCAGCAGCCGACGCAAAGCTCCCGGGATCCGAACCCATCTTATCGTGAGAGCTGCGGAAGGGACGACCCAGAAGAAACCAGAACATCCGCCAAAGCCAGATCTGACCCGATCGGTAGACCAGCACAGCGAAGTTCAGGCTCTCACACATCGTCTATAAGAACATACCTATAAAATGCCGCCAAAGCATAAGGACTATCAACACCAAATAAAAAACTATTCAGATCACTCGCCGAGAGCGCCAAACAGCAATAAAATGTTTCCACTCTCTTAATGGTTGCGAAGCCTACAGTTGTCCTACATCGCTAATTGTGGTATCATTGGAATCGCAATAAAATTCTCTACACGGACATATGCATATAAATATAGATTCAATGTCGTAGCTCACCCAAAACAGTGTGGGAAGTGGCCGAAGTGTTACCCACGGCGGCATATCGGCGAAACTCGCTTTGAAAAGTGTATATTCAATTCACTGTCCTGACATTATTTGTCGATGTATGTATTTCATTTTTGTACCAATGTGCTCGCAATAGAATGTTCTATAAGAACATAAGTATTAAAGGTCACATAAGGATGCGTTCGACCGGCAACATATATAAAAACTACGTCGATTATACTCGTCGTGTCAATAATACAATTGTTTTACCACGATGATTCACTGCCACGCCGTTCTCTTTAATAAGCTGTTCGGCTATTAGAGAAAACGTAATTTTCATGGCAAACATTTGTAAACTATTCCCAAGTTGATCGGATAATAAATGGATTTTATACAAATATTTTTTCTCGTGACTTCCGAGAGGGGCACGCGTGCGGTGTGATTAATAATATTGGTGACAACGACGGTCTGCTGGAATGCACCAAAGTGTTAACATACTAAGAAGGTTAGGTAAGGTCAGTGTTTTCTATAAAGCTTTTCAAGGTAAACTAGTATGTTTAGTATGTCACATATGCACGTATTTAATAAGTCAATATTGACTGTAAGAAAGTGCGAGAACAGGTTGTACCCTGTTACCAACGTCCTCTGGGAACGAAAGTTTTATTGAGTTAACTTCAGGGAGTCACCAAGTGGTTTTCCCCAGAAAAATGTTGTTACTCAGGTCGGTATTGGAATAGACAACGTCTGACTCCTGTTAGCAGATTTTTAGCTTTCTTTTATAGGGCATATTAAACCAGTATCAGTGTTGATCACTCATATATGTTCTTTTGTCACAGATCCAAGAAACAACAGCTCAAAATTTAGCATCTGCACAAACCCTGGGCTCAAGAGAAAAGAGATCACATGTCATTTGGGCAGACACAATCACCCTGTTATTCGAAGGCATTGCTAGAACAGTTGAAGTTCGGCAACCCATCATTGAAACATATTATGGTATGTATATTATATGTTAATGTATGATAATGAGATAATTTGCATAAAATAATCTCAAATTTATTTATATTAAAAAAAAGTACAGTGGCACCTCAACTTATGACTGCCCCTACTCACGAATTTTTCGAGTTACAACATAAATTTCATCGGAAAATGCAACTCTACTTATGACCTTTGCCTCGATTAACGACTTTGTTGATACGCGTATGGGGTTGACCATTCGGGCGGTTCCTGGTGGTGCGGCCGACCCCGCCTCAGTTTACCGGAGCTGCCCACTTAGTGACGCTCGTGCTTGTAAAGAATTTCATTATATTTGTGCTTTTTTTGTTTTTTGAACATAAAAGTAATTATTATATATCATGCTATGAGGTCCCAAGAAAGTCAGTGGCAAGGATCAACCTAAGAAAACACACGTGAGGATGACCATAGAGGAAAAACAAGAGATCATTCGTAAATATGAAAATGGTATGAGGGTTATTGATGTAGAGTAGAGGATGTCCCTTCCTCATTTATTAAGAAAATGTGTACAGTATGGGAAGAATTACAAAATTTTGCTGAAAAGTGTTCCAAATCAAGCTATAGCAGACCATTGTCTTAACCTTTTTAATGACAATGTGATTTCACACTTCAGACAAGTGTTACAACAGGGAAAAAAAAGTGTTGCTAGACAGGTTTTGAGCGAGAAAAACAAGCAGTGAGCCACGATCAGGTCCTAGTGGTATGCCTGCAAAATGTACGAGAGTACCCCAGAAAAGTCATCACTTCCTGATGTTATAATGGAAGGGGACTACACTTCCAAACACTAACACCTCTCCTCCCCCCCCGCCCTCCTCCTCACATCTTCCATACGTCAATAAGTCCTCATTCAAGGTAAGATATACATACAGTACTATATTTTAGTTAGTACAAAATGAGTGTTATTCATTATAAAATGTATTTTTAAGTTAATATTTTTGGCGGTGTGGAACGGATTAATTCAAGTTACATTTTCTGGGGGAGCCCTGTCGGCTCCCCGGAGCTTTACCAGGCTGATATGCTAATGTCAGACTTTGGCATCAGTCATGTGTATGGAGTTCTTGGGCGTTCCGGGGACCCGGCCAGTACCTGGCCCCCCTCAGAGAGGCAAGGGGAGCAATGGCCTATAGAAACCCCCGTGTGGTTGGAAGCATTCTATGCCTGCCATCGACCGGGTCAAACATCCAGAAAGGTAAGCATTCCAAAACAAACCCCTATTCTGGTTAAAATTGCTACCAAAAGCCGAACTAGTGGATAGAACTCCCCAACAGAAAACAAGCAAACTAGTATGACGTCACACGTCACCGCGCCGCTGTCTGCGCAGCTCCCCCCTCCCCGGGAGGGGGAGCTGCGCAGACAGCGCAGCTCCCCCTCAGGTTTGCTCCTTCTCCTCGGGAGGGGAAAGGGGGAACCCCAGACCTCCCACGCTGGCTATCAACCCATCAGTTCTTCGGCTGATGCTATAGGCACCGGTTGTATGCTCCGGCTCCAGTAGTTGTTTCAGCACTGTACATAGTGTGCTGTCTGTCTTCTAGGTGGTGCATGAGCCGGGAGCGAGTCTCCAGTACTCGGGCTGCATGCGTCTAGGGTTCCCTTCCCTAGGTGCCCTGTAAGTACTGCCCTTGGGGCTTGGGGCCACCTTCCACAAGTTTTGGGTTCTACCCCTGCTAGGCCGTTTAGTGCTTGGTTTTCGGCTGCTCTTTGTGTGCTCGGGTGTTCTGTCTCCCTTGTTCGCCTTAGGGTAAGGGGCAGTTTTGCACTGGTGGGGCGCAGGGTACTGTGCAGCTTGTCTTTACCAATCATAGCGGCCGGCTCTGTTCCGCTTGGGTACGCTGTCCTCCTCTTGCGGGGTTTTCTTTTTCTTTTAGTTTTTTCTGCCTGGTGGGGGGTCTGCCTTCATTCTTCCCCTTTGTGTCCCTTGTGTTCTGAGTATTTTTCTGGTGGTTCTCCCTGCTAGGTCTCCGTCACTGTACACGGGGGTTCAGCTCTTAGAAAGTTGTTTGGTAGTTTTGGGTGCCGGTTAGCAGTACCCTGCCTGGGATTACCTGAGCGCAAGTCCTTTTATAGTAAATGCTCGGGACCCTGGGAAACCCCTGGGGGTGCACGGGTCAGATGGATGTGACCCCAGAGTCCCCTCTTGCTTCCAGCGAGTTTGAGGGTTGCTCTCACCCCTAGTCTCAGGGTGACTCTGTTTTGCCTCCGTCTGCTGCCTGTGGGGTCGGTGACACCTTCGACCCAAAGTCCTGCAAGTTTTGTTGCTTGTTGTGGCTTGGTTACCCAGTTGTGCTGACTAAGCGGGTGCGGGCAGCAGGGGCGTTGCACTTGAGCCTTGGTGGTGGCAACACTCTCGTTCGTTTGTTCCCCGGGAGCCCCGGGGCTGCCTCGTTTTGGTTCGTGTTGGGACTTGGGGGTGTTGGTTGTTTCGTTTCCTTCTATGCCCCCTTGTCTTTTCCCTGGATCCCCCCTTCCTGCCTACATCTGGTTCCTTACTGTCTGTGGGTTCGGGGCAGGGTTTGATGGTTTTGAGACTCAGGCAGTCTCGGGGAATTCCCCTTCCGGGGTAGTGACGGGGGCATTTGACCCTGTTCCTCCAGCCGTGTTGTAAGAGTCTGCCAGTGGGCTCCCTTCCTTAGTATTTTCGTGGCTGCCCCGGTTTTCTGATATGGCCGGGGCTTTGGGGGGACGGCTCGGCCCCTGGGCCTGTCGTATAGGTTCCCGGGGCTGGGGATGGGCTGACTTGGGGGCCTTGGACCCGTCGGACCCCGTGGGGGATTTTTCTCCCCCTCTAGGCGGGGCTTGTGGTTACGCAGAGTGTGGTTTTTCCTTCCCACTCGCCGTATGTGTTGTTGGGCATCGGCCCCTCCCCGGGCTCGGTTCCTTGGCCTTTGAGTCGGTTGGTTCCGTCCTGTGGGTGGATGCTCCCCCCCCCCATCCTTTTTGGGACGGTGTCTTCATCGTGTTTCCCCGTTCTTGGGGTTCTACGTGACTTTTGGTCTCGGGTGTGACTGTGCTTTCGCGTGCCTTCGGGACTGGTGTTTGCTTCTGCGTTGTCGAGGATTCGGGAAGGTTTTCGCTACTTCCCGTATTATTGGAACGTCTGTCGGCTCCTAGTCCGGGTCGCCGTATTGGGCTACTTGTGGCCCGGTTGGGCTGTTCGTGGCCCAGCTGGGTTCCCTTTGGGCTCTTTGTCTTCGCTTCGTTGGCCTGTTTTGTTGTTCCTGCTTCCTCTTTTGGCTACTTTTCTAGTGCAGTAGTCCAGGTTGGCGCCTTCTTGCAGTGCGGGTTGTGCGGTTCGGCCAGCGTGTCATGCGCATGCACCGTGGAGTTTGTTTTGGTCTGGGCGGTGTTTCAGTGCTGGTGTTTTGCGACCCTTTTTTTTTGGGTGCTTAGCCTCTCGCTCTTCTCCCTTGCTCTGATATGTGCCCCTTCGCTCCGGGGGTGTCCTGGATTCCAACTGTGGGGTGGACGCCGAGGTTTTCCCTGTGTCATGGGTGTGGGCCGCCTCCTTCACCTCTATCTTGCTCCGGCTCTGGCTTTTTCACCTGGCAGTGCTCCCAGGATCTACTGGGCGCTGTTGGGTCGCGTCACGTTCGTGCCTCCGTTTGACAGGTGAGTTTCTGCGGTCTGGCATCTTTTGTCTGGGCGCTGGATGTGAGAATGTTTATATACCTGTCTTTATTTAGGTATATCTATGTACGACTGAGACAGTTCGCACACCAGTGACTGTCCCTTTTTCAACCCTTCCAGTCCCACTCATATGCATGTCCAACCCAATGAGGTGGACATTCAGGGGACCCACCTCTTTCGTGTTATGAGGTGTGTGAGTTGTGGTGCTGGTTATGTACTCACCTGGTAGGGCACTTCTGGCAGTGCTTGTGGGGTTTGAGCTCTGGCTCTTGGGTCCCGCCTATATGGAAGAACATGCAGGATAGTACCAGTGGAGTGCAGTGATGCAATAGGCACATTCGGGGAACACTGTATAACCATCAGAGGTCTACGGTTGTTACACGTCCTACCTACGAGCATACGCCATATTGCCGGTACATCCGTGGTCTTCCAGGGTACACTAGCCTGTTTTCGAATAGAGGTTCCAGCCCATCCTGGCTGTGGTGGGTATGTGGGCCTGCGGGCCGCTCCCAGCAGCAGCCTGGTGGACCACCCTCTCGCAAGTCTAGCCTAGCCTCGGGCCGGGCTTGGGGTGTACATTGAACTCCCGGAACCCCATCCGGCAGGTATCGAGCAGGTTTCTCCGCCGTTGGTCGCCTGGTGTGCAGGTTCCTGGGCCTGCTGGGTTCTGTCGTGTCTCCATTGGCCCTGTCTGGGGTCTGCCTGCACCATTCTCTGTCTTTGCAGAAGCGAGTTGCTATGTACATGTTGTGGTGGTGCCTGTTGCTGCTGCACGTGTGCTTTGGTAACGTGTTTCGCGATGGCATGCCCTTGTTCCGGTGTCCGGTTATGGTGTGGCGCATTGCTGCTGTTTTGTACCTAGGGTTTACGTATGGGGATTTGCTTGGTATTTTTCGTGGTCTTCGGGTCCCTGGCTTGGCCCTCCCATGTGCGTGGGGTTTCTGTCCCTGCCTGATGGTCCACCCCTGGTTGTTTCCTGGGGTTTGTGCTTCAGCTCTTTCGTCCTGCCTCTCCCCAGTCGCTTTCCTGGCATCTCCTTTGGTCGGTTTTGCCTGCACTTGCTGCTGTGGGGGGGGGGGGGGGGGTCAGTTTCTACTGCTTCCCTTCCTTGTGTGTGTCCTTTGTTTCCTTCTCTGCCGCAGGGGTGTTCTGCGTGCGTTCCTTGGCTTCTTGGGCATTCTTTCAGCCTGTGTCCTATGGTGCACTTATTTGTCTTGGTCTGTTTCAGTTGCTCGTACCCCTTGGTTCGGATACTGTTTCTGGAGGCAACCCTTACGCCTTCTTCAGTTTTCCTGGCTTGCCCTGTCGGTTGACTTTTCTGGGGCTTGCGATGTCTCGCATCGGACCTGTCGTTTCTG